CTCCTCTTCCTCCTCCTCCTCCTCCTCCTCCTTTTCCTTGTAGCCCCAGCTGGCCTGGAGAACTCACTCTGTAGACCAGGCTAACCTGGAACTCACAAAGATCCACCTGCCTCCACCTCCCAAGTGCTGGGATTAAAACCATATACCACCATACCCAGCATTTGTCACTTCTGTATTATTCTTCCCTCAACACCCAGAAAGGTTCCTGGCACACAGTACAGTAATCAATGGATCAAAACTCTCTATTATTCATTTTCTTCCCAGGTTCTGAAAAAGCATACTGATTTTTATTCTAATCTCAAGCTACCTTGGTGCGACTACAAGACAAATCTGTCCTTCATATCCATGTAGCAGCATTGATTTCCAGACCTCTGAGGATACCAAATCCATGTGTGCTCAATTATATAAAATGATGCAGTATTTGAATATAACCATCACACATCATCCCACATACTTTAAACAACTTCTGGATTGCTCAATAATGTCTAATACACTGTACATCTTATGTAAATAGTTGTTATGATTTGTTGTTTAAAAGAAAGTGTCAAGAAAATAATTCTAGGGGCTGAAGAGATGGCTCAGTGGTTAAGAGCACAGGCTTCTCTTGCACAGGACCCAGTTTCTGTTCCTAGCATCCACATGGAGGCTAACAACCCTCTGCAACTCCAGTTCAAGGGTAATCTGACACCCTCTTCTGACATCCTTGGGCATTGCATGACACAGGTACATGTGCATACATGCAGGCAATACATTCATATATATATAAAATAAAAAATAGAAATAATAAATAGAAAGAAAATTATATACAGTGGGGGGCTGGTATACAAATTATTTTCAAGTATTTTCAATCCATGGTTTGTTGAATCCATGGATATTGAACCTGTGAAACAGAGAGGTTAACTGTTTTTCCCAAAGCATATGCCTTACATTCCTGTTAAGCTCGGTAGTATGTCATTATCTCAGAATCTCCTTCTTCCTTTCCTTTGAGTGTGTAGATCTGTTATTCTTCAGGTCTGATCTGATGCCAGCACCTCTTTTATGAATCCCCCATTTACCAAAACCTACTCAGATGCTACCCATCTGCCTTAGTCACCTGTAGCCTACCTCCCTCTTCCTTTCAATGTCACTAGCTATGTTTTAGATTTCTCCCATGTCATTTAGCATTTTTCTATTCACACTTAATTTTACACGCTGCGTCACTCTTTAGAAAGCATTTCTGTTTCATTTGTGTATTCTCCACAGAACAAGTAAGTAGGAACTATTTGATAATGGCAAATGTTTAGTGAAGAACAGGCTTGCTGTCAGCTGCTGAGCCCAGAGACGTGCTGGCTTCAGAGAATTGAGAGTGATCTTCTTTTCCTGTGTTGTCTGAAGAGCTTTGTCAACGGATGATTAAACAAATATAAACACTGTTTTGTGGTGTTCCAAAAACAGTCCCTGCACATGGTATCTGATGCAATTGGCAAAATCTAGCTAGAGTCACTTAGAGATGGCATTATCTCACTTGAAAAGCCTTGGTTTTCTTGTTTGAAAGCATTGAGATAATATATGGTTAAGTCAGGGGAATTCAGGTCTCCTAAACCAAGAGCTTGAGCTAAAGAATGTACTGAATCCAAGTGAGCTTGCTTCCTTCCTTATAGAAATTCTGATATTTTGTTATACCTATAGATTAGTGCATCTCTCAGGCCTTATCAGAGAAGCTTTTTTTTAGTAGACAATGATTAACACAGAGACCCACAACTATGTAGAGAATAAGAGACTGCAGAAAGCTCATCCCTAAATGTGACATCTATATAACACCTCTCCCCCCACAAGGCTCAGGAATCCCTGTGAAAGATTTTAAGAGCCAGAGGCAGTGGATGACCACAAGGAAACAGTGTTTTCTGAGCACAACAGTGCAGTTGCACAGGTGAACTCACAGTGATTGTGACAGCATGCCCAAGACCTGCACAATTTCAAGACAAATAAAACTCCTTGATGGAGAGGGAGGTAGGCACAGAGTCCTACCCTAACTGAGGAGCTATTGGCTGGGAGAGGGAGAATCCATTTCTTTAAAGGATATGGCCTTTGGTAGGTTGACCATGCTCCAGGAATGACCCCACAACCAATAGTATATATATGCAGCACAAATTAGACTTGATGCACTTTACAAAAGAAAAAAGAGGGACTTGAAGTCTGGTGGGTAAGGACGTGGGGGTGGGTCTGGTTAGAGATGATCAAAGTACACTGTATGAAATTTTCAAAGAATTAATAAAAATATTACTTGGAAAATAAATAACAAAAAAAAGTTCTGCTGGAATAAAAATAAACAATTTTTTCACAGATATCGCTAGCTTTTTGTTAGCGCTCTTCCAATGCTGGGTCATTGCCCTCCGCATGAGCAGAGCACCTCTGCTGAGAGATGTAATGGGTGTGAGCCTTGTCTCCCAAGTGTTCCTGCCTCAGGAAGCTCTCTGGCAATCATGTTTGTCTTGTGTTTGTCTTTCTCCCTGTTTACCATCAAAATCCTCACATGGGTTTTAGGTTTTGCCTTTTGAACCTTTGATTTTTGCTATAGCACTTATAATTATTAATCTTTGTAAGGCATTTTCACTTTTGTGAAATACCTTCCTCTCTAGTGTCCAATTTGGACCCCTTCACAGATCTGTGAGCATCCTAGGGCAGGTACCAGATGTATTATAAGCCCTTTGCAGATGAAGAAATTGAGCTCTATATTTTAAGTGATCTGCCCCAGGTCACAGTCAAAAACAGCAGTAATAGAGTCACCTGGCTACCAAGTTGGTGCCAGCTCTACTCATCCTGGAAGGAGAAGGGTATTTGAAACTCTTAACTTCACTAGTGCTAATGACCTCCATTCTTTCTTGGCAGAGGCATCCATCTTGAGCTACGATGGCAGCATGTACATGAAGATCATCATGCCCATGGTGATGCACACCGAGGCAGAGGACGTGTCCTTCCGCTTCATGTCTCAGCGTGCCTATGGGCTGCTGGTGGCTACTACCTCCAGGGACTCTGCCGACACACTACGTCTAGAGTTGGATGGCGGTCGGGTCAAGCTCATGGTTAACTTAGGTATCGTATGAAGGACCCTCTGACACTGTTTGGGCTTGTGTTCCCTTTATTTTCTGATTTTCATTGGTTTGATTGAATTCTTTTTTGTTTCTTGAAAGTTAGTTGCTTACCTCTTGTTTAATAGACCAAGGATAAAACCCAACAGCAACAAACACCTTCTTGTTTCTGCATGAGGTTTTGATGTCAATTTCTGGTATCTGACAGTGGTGATTTCTTTACTGGATTATTCGTTGTCTAAGTTTCCTTTCATGGTTTTTTGGAATTGTTTAGCTTTGTGTAATACACGCTACTTTGGTCCATCTTTTGATCAGTCATATACCATTACATCCAAATCCTTAGTCACCACTCAAAACAGTCAAAGCCAAGGACAGGGGCAGATAAGAAGAGGAGGCAAAAATGAGAGGGTGGCTGGGAGGGAACCATCCTTTGTGTTGTTTTTAGTTCTGCAGTGGCTATTAAGATGGAAGATTCTGGTGCCATGAAGTCACAGAGACCTTAAGTTTACTCCTAGTGGGACAAGGAGTTACATTGTTCCTTTTCTCTCATTAGAAACAGTTCCCTAAGTTTAGAAAGTCTGCCTTATGGAAGGACGATGTACCTCCTGAACATGGCCCCTTCATTCCTGCTCTGCTAAATCACCCATCAGCAGCCCTTTTAGAAAAGGCTGCTCTCACACAATGTTATCCGGAGTTGCTCTGTTCTCTCCATGTAATGCATATCAATTTTGCCCTAGATTTGAAAAATTATGACACCCTTAAATTTGCAGCTTTATTGGGTCAAGATGTGTCCTTCTCTGCAGTTACCTATAATGAATACTTCTGAAATTCTGTGTATGGCTCCCCATTATTTCCTGTTATTGACTTTCTTTACTGGATCCTAATTATCTTTTATGGAGAATGGGACCTCTTGGTTTGCAAAGGAAATAGACAACCAAGCACCTGTTCCTGCTCTTTCCACTCGGCAGAAAGCCAATACCCAAAGATGTCAGAATTAGTGATTTAGCTGAGTCCACACTTTCTAAGCTAATGGGTTTATTTGGCTATGTAGAATATGTTTGGATACTGAACTCTTTTATAAGGATTTGTTAGAGGCAGAGACAAATGCACTAGTTTCTAGACCATGTAAAGCCCTAATGACATGGTTGGAAGATGGAGTTTTGAATCAGCAAAGGTCTTATCTGAAGTCAGGTCAACTAGTACCAATTTCAAAATACAAATATATTCTAAAATCTCTGGGACATCTAGGACTGTTTTGAGCAGTGGCTTATTTAGTTCTGTCTTTTAATTTTACTTCATTTTGCAGCTTTTACAAAAAGTGCCCTTTTTCCTGCCCGACCTCATTTGTTTTCTGTTTTCAGTGTGTCTCTTGGTTTTCTGTTGTCTGTGTATGTGCGTATTTGGTTATTTTCGATTTTGTTTTTATCTTTTGCTGGATCTTTGTGTGTGTATGTGTATGTCTGTGTTCTTGAGTTTTCAATCTTTCCCACCATCTACCATGGTAAATCAAAAGATGGTATTCAACCCTTCAAAGGCCCAAAGCCTGCGGCCCGCATAGCAAACAGCCTTGAGAACAGAGAGTACTGAGCAGCCTACAGGGACTGGCATACCCCTGCCCCTCACCCTCCCCTCCCACACCATCCTCTCCACCTTAACCAGACCAACCTAAGCATGTTATACTACCTTAAACCCAAAACCAACAGCTATAACTTGCTTCTCTGAAAAATATCAGAAGGAACAAATAACAGACCCGAAATTATAATGTAAAAGACAAAACCAAACACCAGCCCCTACCCAATTCACCCCAAAAGAAGGCAAAGACAACTTTTACCTTACTGTCTTTCAAAGTCAGAGGAAGCTATACATGTGGTCAGGAATCTGCCCCATTGTATGGTGGGGTCATGCTGTGTGTTTCCAAAGACAGTTTGCTTTTCCTCATTAGATGCTGATTTGTAAAGACCAGCAAGTCAGTTTTGACATGTCACACATCATAAAAGGAAAACTAGATAAGTGAAAAGATAAAGGGAATGAGCAATGAGGCAAAGAGAGGGAAAGATTCTCTCTCTCTCTCTCACTCTCTCTCTTGCTTGCTCTTTCACACACAGACACACCACACACACACACGCACACACTCAAACACTGATTTAGTCATAGGTCCTACATGCATTCCTAGTAACCTGCTCTTGTTAAACTCTGGCCCAAGTCTGGGAGCTGAGCTTTTAAAGAACTAGCTCTTGCCTTTTGACATTTATTGGCTCACCCTCCTTTTCTTCCAACCTGACATGGGACACTAAGCAAATCTCTTGTATTTGTTTACAGGTGACTCTTCATATTCACAATTGTCTAAAGATTCATTTACCTCTTCTCCCAGGGATGCTCCTTTGTAAATATTTTCTTCCTCCTTGCCACAAATTCGTACCTTCTTCCACTTGGCTAGAGAAGAAAATATCACCAAACAGAGTTTGTATCCACGTAACAGTCCCCAAACAAATTTGCTCTCTTACTACAGGTTTTTTCAGGCGAGTTCTCACTGCATAACCAAGGCTGGCCTGGAATTCTCTGTAGCCCACACTGGCCTTAAGATCATGATCCTTCTGCCTTGGTCACTCTAGTGCTGGCATTTTAAGTTGTTGCATATTTATAGCACACACACACACACACACACACACACACACACACGATATTTTCAAATCTATTCAAATTGCTAATGTGTGTAAATTCCTGAGGGAAAATCCTAATGTATATTGTTCTGATAGAAAAGAGCTTCTAAACAGCAAGGAGGGTAGAATTTTCCTAAGGTTTTGTTTTCCAAAGACAGGCATACATGGCCATAGCAGGTGTACACCATATCCTGTACCATTCACATGATTTTAAAAGTTTTGAAGTTAATTGTTGATCAACCAGCACCTGTTCTTTGATCAGTAGAAGACTGAACAGAAGTATTTTTTCTATCTATTATACCACATTCAAAGATTTCAAAGACCTTTTCATATTTTAATCTAACAATAGTTTTGGAAGATAAATCAGAAAAGTATCTTTATGCTTCCTTTTGGGCATGAAACAGAGAGATGCTTGGCTTTCTGGTGCTTCTATCAAACTTGAGAAGCAGAGCTGAGAATGAAACCCCTATCTCTAAATGCCTGGATTATTGTGCATTGTCTTTTGGCCCTGCACCACAGATGAGGGATTGGATGATCTTAATGATGCCATACTGCTTTCATGATGGTCACCTTTGAAACACTCATGAAGGCAATTTCTTTCTGCCTTAGCATTCAGTCTAAATTGAGCCACATTATAGAAAAGCCAGTTGATAGAAGTGAAGGCTTTAAGATCCTCAGTAGAGTGCTGGGAGCCTTCAGTCTACTCTGGAGACTGAGGGCAGGGCTAGGCAGTTTGAGTAATGGAATATGAATTCTCCATATATTCTTTTACTAGATTTGCTGACTACTGTTTTGTGTGTGTGTGTTTAATTGAAAACACACAACTTTTAGAAACATTCATCACTTCCAGACTCAGTCTGAAGCTTACCAATATGGAAAATAAACAAAACAAATACACACACACACACACACACACACACACACTCACGCACGCAGGCACTCACGCACGTGCGCACATATAGTTACACACCTTAAATGCTATGCCAAGATTTAAGCAGACACTTTTTTTCAGTCAGACAGAAACGTCTGGCTACTATAGATTTTGTATCTAAAGGCAATTCCCAGTCAATTCCCCAATTCATTTTTCATTAAAAATACATGACCTCACTAATAAGACCACATGTTTGGACCTTGTGAAGAAGATGCTAGGAAATAATTTTCTCTACAAATCACTTATTCTTTAGATAAACTACCAAAATAATTCATCATGTCTTGATTTAAGCATATTGTCTACCATCTTTGAAAGCCCTAACCACATTGGTATAGAGATAATATTCATATTTCATGGAACCATTTGGATGACCAGGAAGATAAATCCAACTCAACACCTCTCCCTATCTTGTCTAATGATAAAATCCTTAGCTTCACAGAACCAAGGAAAGGTCCTCCCTTGTTTGCATTTCTTGTGTTGATGGCTTTAGGCCCACCCGTTCTCTTCTCTTCTTTACTAAGTATGTCTACCCAGACACCTGTTTCCCCTCCCTTTTTGATACAACAGGATAAGGTATTTTTTCCAACTTTGGGTGAGGATAAGTACAGCCAGTACCTGAAGCACCTGCCCCTCTTCCTTGCCCTTTCCCCTTCCCAGCCCTCCCAGGGGAATGGCCTCCTCTGTGTGGTGATCGTACCAATTGCTCCAGGGCTGTTTGCTCCCACTTTTCTGTTGCGGTTGACGACACATGACAAACCTAACCGCACGAAACCAAACCGAGATTTTTCTCAAGAGATGTTCTTCTGGGGAACAAAAAAAGCTGCCTGCCTCCTCCTCAGGATGACTGGGTGTTGTGAATTGCCCCCAACTGGGTTGAGCATAGGCCTATTCTCTGGGCTGGATGCCACTAGTTCCTATTTCATTTACTCACTTAAAATGGCTCACTCTAGGGGAATTCAGATGGTGGCATTATCCTGAACTAGTCCTCTGAAGACTGTTGGGGCAACCTTAAGCAGTAGAACACAGTTTTTACCTGTATGTTTCTCTATTATTCCCTTTTCTCTGTCATTGACTTTGACCTTTTATTATCTGACAGTATAAATTCTTAACAGAATTCCTAAAATTATGATGCAACCTTAGGTTCCACTAACAGTTACCAGAGATATTTCTCCAGCCATTGCTTCCCAATCCCCTATTGACACCACTGACTCTACTCAGGAATTACTATGGTACATACCTGCCAGACAGAGATTAATAAAATAATAACTACTCTGACCTCTGGCACAGAATACCTCCTGTAGTTGACAAAAGACAATTAGACTTTTCTTCCCTGTGTTTCCCATTTAAGAAGTAAAACCCAAACCAAGGAACCTTCTCTTATTTTGATGTAGAGTTATAGGGATTTCAGGCAGGATATCAAAGGCACTCATGACTTACTCCACACGCGCCTGCCCTGCCTTCTCCCTGAATGCTGTAGACACTGTATTCTCTGGGCATTCTGGCAGGAAGACGGAGATGGGGTTTGTGAGTGGGTTGGTCTGGGAGCCTTTGAACCCATAGCAATCAGGAAAGCCAATCAACTGGACTAACATCCTAGTACCCTATGTACCCTATGCCTGATTGACCCCACCTCTCTAAAATCTGGGATGGGTGTTTGTGCGGTTAGCTGTTTGCAAGTGGCCATTTTATGACAGGAAATGACCAGGTGGTGTTAACCCTTTCCTTATCTCTAAGGGTGATTGCAAATCTCCCTCTACAAGTTCCTGTAGTATTTTGGGGCCCAACCTAAGGTGAGGGTGGAGGGAGTTGGAGTTTAGGAAAAAAAAAAAAAAAAAGAAAGAAAGAAAGGGTTAAATACTACCCTGTGAAACTTCAAGGACAGAATTTTTTTTTTAAAAAAAATGATACAATGTGTCAAACTGGTGATATGTATTTGGAACACTAATTCAAAGCTCTTGGTAATGCTAATTTTTAAGAGATGATTTTAAGGACATAAATTGTAGGGGGAAATAAAATATAATCTGTATTTGGTGGGGGAATTTTTGCCCAATTTTCTAAGCTTAACAAAATTAACATTTCAAAATCCAGGTATGGAATATTTTTATACAAATGAATAGGGGTTTTTTTGAAAAACAAAGAGATAGTCTTGGTGTCAACTGTGGATATATATGTATACCAGTATATATCTTTATACATATGTGTATATATATATGTGTGTGTGTATATATATATGTATCCAACTTTACTAAATAATATACTGTACATATACACCCACCCTTAAACTTGTACATATTGTATATGTATATATATAAAATGGCCACATTTCTTGCGTGTGTCTGTCCCCGGAAGGGTGGACTGATTGTTTTTGGATGTCTGCAGCTGTTACCTTGAAGGATGCAATTTCATCTTTCATTTATTTTTCCCCATCTAGACTGTATCAGGATAAACTGTAACTCCAGTAAGTTTTCCCTCAAGTTTCATTTTGTTCTTAAAAACGAAAAGAAAAACTGACTTTATTTTGTTTACGGTTTTATAAGCTGTTTTTTATTTGGATTATTTTATTTTCAGTCAATTAAGTTATGAGGGGAACTGGGTGGTGACAAGTTGGAGGACTGGGGTGGTAGCACAAGGCTTCCTGTGACTAGGGGTGTGGTCTGTGGTTGGGGGACGGGTCCTTTCTTCTTGCATTTGTTCTATAGGCAGAAAAGGAGAAAGAGGGCTGTGAATCCCTAAGTAACTTGAAAATGAACTAAAATGGTAATGTGTTGTTTTAAGAAACAATCTCTAGGGTAAACAAAAATCTTTAGTTTATAGCAACCGGCATGCACTTCTCCACTTCCAAAAGCTGTAGATGGTAGACGCAAAGTTCACGAGCCAGACGTGGCTGCCAACTCTGACATTTCTTCCCTGGTATTTGTCACTGTAGGGGGCTTTGAGAGGGGCAGGCAAAAGCCTAGTCTTGGTGATGTTGCAACATTTTAACCAAAGACTTAGACCCACTATAGCTCCCCTTATTAGAAGCTGCCATTTTCCCTTTTGCCCAGTCAGGCATGCCAGCACTTGCAGAATGGCCCTAAGAGGAAACAGACTGAAAACTACTAATTATCTTTTTTTCCTCTGCCTCAAAATGAACATTAGCTGTAGTTGAGGAGGTAGGAAAGAAGGGCGACAAACAAGAAAGATGGAAACAGAATAGGACATGATAATCAAAGGAGAAAAGATTCTTTGATTGTTCTAGTGTCATATCGGTTAGGCCAAATAATTCTAACTGCTGTAACAAGCCATCAAAATTTAAATAATTCAAAAGAAAGATCTCTTTTTAATTCAGCTGAAGTCTAATGTCAGTTTAACAGCTCTCACAGAAAGCTCCCTTTAAAGATGTAATTCAAGGATCTAGGACTCTTCCCTGTGATAGGTCATCCAACTTGGAGATGGATCTTCAATGTTTCATCCCAGAGGGAAGAGATCTTGAGTTGTTGAACAGCAGGTTTCATCCTTGCCTAGAAGTTACCTATATCACTTTTGTGAAATACTCCATCCTACATGTAAAGGAGAATAGGATGTGTTCAGAACACACAAGAAGAGAAGTTTCAGTGCTTAAGCATCTAGCACACAGAAGTCTTGGTGTTAGCTCATTGGCTTTCGTTCTCTCTTTGCTAGAATCTTCCTGGAGGAACAGAGCAGAGAAAGGAAAGGAAATCATCCAGCCTGTGTCTTTCATTTACTTGTTAACTCAAGTTCACAAGATTATAGATCCTGGTTTAATCTTCTTTCTTGGCATGTAATGCCATGATGACAAATTAATAAAGCACAATTCTATATGTTTCAAGAAAACGTTCTTTATAACTTAATGAAAAGGAAAATTTAAAAATCAATATAAACAAGCACTCCATAAGAAGTTCTATGCACGTATTGGCATTACTTTCAGTTATTTTAAGCAGTGTCCTATTTTGCTATATTAAAATATTCCTAATTAGGCAGAAATTTCTCATGATATTTAGATAGCAAAAAGCCTAATTAAGACATTCTTTCTCTCCAAAGCCTGGAGGTTTGCAAATTGTTGTTGTTTTAGGAGTGTTTTGAGGTATAATTTCCATACCAAAAATTCACATAAGCCTACAATTCAATCACTTTAATTAATTGTATAGAGTTTTCCAGGCATTACTTCAGTCGTGTTTTAGAACTTTACCATCACTCATCAAGTTTCTCACTTGTCCATTCCCAATTAATCTTCCTTTTCCCCTTAGTCCCAGGTAATGACTGATATACTTTGTTTCCATAAATTTGCCTTTCCTGGACATTTCGTAGAAATGGAATCACACGATATATAGTCATTTGTATCTTGCTTCTTGAAAAATTATAGCACTTCAGGGGAAAGATTTTTTTCCTTTCCTTCTGCACTGATGTGCAGAAGGAAATAAGGTGGAAACCGAGCAGGAGACGGGAAAGTCTCATGTTTAGAGTCTGTTGGTTTCTGAAACTCATTTTGAGAACAGAATTGAGGGTTCTTTGATCAAGATGTCAGCCTGCACTCTTGTAGCCTCACCTGCGCCCCGATTCCATATGTTCCCTAGGTTCAACCGTGGAAGGCATCAGAGATAAGTTTCAGGATTCTTTGTTGGGAAAACTGTGACATCAATAATAGCAGGTTTCCCCAACCTGGTAGAATATTTTCTATTCAGAACCATCATAAGCACATTGAGAAGGAAACATTTCAGTAAAGGTGTGTTCTCCACCCACTTTGATCACAGCATAGAGAAGGTAACTGGTCTTAATTAGGCAGATCACCTTAGATTTGAGGCATCACTTCTCAGTTCTCATGATAAACATTTAACATACTGACAGTTAATCTCGCTGACCCTGGCAAAGAAAGAGTATAATGTCCAGTGGTTGCCACATAATTGTTGACAAAAGAAAATAGTTTCTTTAAACAAATCTAAGACCTTTAATGTAGAAGTATGCAGACAACTATACAGAGTTATATGGAGTCAGAAAGTAAATATGATACATTTTCCTGTAGTTGGATTGCAGTCGTGACTGAAACTGAAACAAAAATGATGTATTATAAAGAAGAAAGCACTAAGCATCTTTCTTTCAGGGAAAAATAAGGAACTCGAAGTCACTTTCTTTGTATGACTTGTTTTCTCTAATCCATCTTTGCTATTATTGATATTTGAGTGGAAGAATTCGAGAAGACTATGTAACTAAATTAATAGAATAAAGATGTCACATGATTAAAACTTCTAAACACCTCTTGATGTCAGGGCTCATAGCTTGGCCTGGTGTGTCATGTGAACTTGTCTTTGTAGTAGGAGCACAGGTTCTTGCTGCTTCTGATCTGATTGCTAACTACAATTTCACCACAAGATTGATTTGTAGTCTGGGTTTGAGGGGGAGTTGGGTTTTCCTCCTCCCCTCAGCCTTACATCCTGCTGCCATTTCAGTGGAAGTCAGAGAGTGTCATAACTCAAGCTTTAAACCAATCTTCAGTTGTTTTTTCCCATACAAGGGACATACTGAATTAAATGTGTCAAGTTCAAATGTACATGTATGAACATTTCTAGTAATTCTTTTGTAATATGTCTGTTCTCTGAAAAGTCACTCAGTGAAGATGTCAGCTGTGCTGCTCCAGGTCTTTGCCCCACAGTGTTCTGGGAAATGATTATTTGCCAAGGAGTGCATGGCACATTTAAAGGAAGAAGTCTGAAAGATGAAACTGAGGAAGTCTTGAGGTGGATTTTCTTCTGGCCAGATTCCTTTGGTCCTTCCATCAGTGAGCATAAGCCTGTTCCGCACATGGGGTTTCCTATAGGGAAGCAGCAAAGAATTTCCAGTCCTCTCTCTCTGTTCTGGACTATGTCTCTCCCCTTGATGCTTCTGGTATTTTTATCATCACTTATTCTAAATATTATGACCTCTGCTTTCCAAATCCCCGAGAAAACCACACATAAATTTATCCCTAGTCACTATCACCCAACATACCAGAGTATGCACATCAAGATCTTTGGTTAAATTGATGTCAACCCAATTCATCTGGTAAGAATGTCTTTAAAGACATTTCCAAAAAAAAAAAAAAGAATAACAGGACTTATTTTAAAATTGCAAGAGCAACAGAGTTGGCTGTCATTGTGGGGGACTGAACTCCAGGTTAACCTGGAAATCTGCTAACAAAATCAGAGCTGTTTTTTGGAGAAATCTGGAGGAAATTTCCTATTCCCTTGGTTCCAGTTGCATGCGGTGGGTCATGACCTCTGAGGCATCCAGTTCTAAAAACAGGTAAGATGTTCTTGTTGGTCTTGAGTGTTTGCCAAGATGAAAGTATGGAAAATGGTTTGCTGACCTTTACCTTCTATGACTGTGACCCTACCTCATTCTACAAGTTTCAAACCATGTGCAGAATGAATGAATGTATGATACATATATCCATGAAGTTATAGTATAAGGAAATCTAGTGAAAATATACTGACAAATATCAATTTTCCATTTCTTTTCCCAAACTTGCCCGCTCTCTCTCAGGCTGGCTGCTCTGTACTGTAGTTTTGGGAACTTTGAGCTTGTGCATTGCTTGGTACTTAGGTTGATAGAGAAACCCCACGTCCTTACTAATTACTTTGACCTTGAAGTCTTACTGATTTTTCTATAATAGGTTCATTTTTTCTTAGACATTGATAAGAGAAAAAGTAGAGTGCCATGCAAAAATATATCGACCTCAGGACACTCAGGTGCCACGGAGGAACTTTGGTGATCTTTTCTACTTTGCCTGCACATGACATCATGGTGCAGGTGTGTAGTACCAGAGGTGTGTGGGCTGCATCATAAGGATGTCATAAGGATTCACTCTTTCAAGCCCTGTCTCTGAAGCCTGCTCACATTTGGTCCTCTTCTTCAACCTTCTTGTATCTGACCTACTGTCTGGTCTTTTCCCTCAGCGTCTCCATTTTTAAACCAACTCCGTTTATAATTGCATACATACAAAATTTGAGGTTACATTTTTGGCAACTTATAGAAAGAAATATAATCGAGGGTTTTAAGTCTAACTTAATTTTGTTTTGGGGGTTTGGCAAAATTTAAGATAAGTCCACTATTAGGGTGTGGTTTTTCATGCTAGATCTCTCTCTCCTCTCTCTCTCCCTCCCTCTCTCCACCTCTCCTTCTATTTTGCCTCTTCGTTTTTCAGAGCATGTGACTTTTATCACTAGGCCTAATTTATCTGAGACTCCCAGAGCTCTATTGCTTTACTCATCTGTTTAATTCAGAAACGCTTGTCACAGACTCACCTGGAGGCTGATTCTTCATTCTTAAGTCTTTCTGGAAGGAAATTATATAACTGGTTTTGGAATCTATTCTACATTGAGGAATCACAGTCAATAGCCACTTATCTTAGAGCTGTAGTGAACTAGGAAATCACAGAGCAAGATCCCATGTATATAATGATGCATTATCTGTCTGTGAACATTG